AAAGAAAACTCAGAAGTTGGCCGCTAGAAGCCTTTTCGTGGCAGACTTTCTGGAAATTGAGGTTCTATATATTTTGCATTGAACCACACCAAACGGTAAGGACCACAAATGTGCCGAAGATATAGGCTGCTAGCTGTCTTAAACGCCACCTGGACCTACCGGGCATTGTACTTACTACCAGCGGAGGAGACGTCGGAGAAGCGCTTATTAAACGAGTCTTTGCAGCGATAATAAGGCATCTTGGTCGCAATAGTCGACATCCGGTGGGACGCGGATAAGAGCAGCTGTGGAGTGGGTGAATATCTGTTTGAGGGTACACGTGCTAACTGCTCACAAATTGGTGCACAACTAGGTACTACCGGGTTGTTTCGAATTAAATGAGAAGGCGCAGTAACGTCTACCAAACGAGCATTTTTGACAAGAGACTTAAAAAATAAGCAGTTTGCGTATGTCTGATAAGAGGACTTAAGACGGGCGGCATTAACGTTGTGTTTTGGAACTTCGGACTGTCTGGACTGTTAAGTATCGATATTCGACTTAAGGTTTTGTTTCACAAGACCAAGACTGCAGAGAGAATTTGTAGGATCGTTGTCGTTGAATAACTCATGGTATTAAGTTTAGGCTGTTATAACCGGAAAGCAGAGGTGGCAGACGGACACATTTTATGACATCTCAAGATCTTCGTGTCAGTGCTGTTGTCGGACTTTACGGTACTTTCTAGTGTAGTGGGTGTGCAAGATAGGAATTTCTGGAGTCCTCGTAGAATTTCTGCCATTGATGCACGAGCTTTTATCGGCTAGACGAAAGCTGGTTTATTACGTACTTCACACTCGAGCAACGCAATTCCAGTATCGGTCTTTAATAAAAGCGTCCCAGTGACAACATGAAAGGTAGCAAGCAGACTCATCATTACTCGTATATATTGTCTGAAACAAATGTAATACTACATGACAGATGGTACCACATGAAAGGCTAAGCAATGACTATAAGCATGAATTGTCAGAGATCGCAATATCTCGTCTGCGAAAAAATTTAGCTACAAAAAAATGGGTAAAGCTATTGCCAGAAATAGAGCTGACCTCCAGAATCAAAATAAAAAACGCCAGATAAACTAAATTTTCCTAATTTATTTTCACCATTAAATGCACTAGCTCGATAATTATTATTTAAAAAATTAATTGGAAAGGTCAATAAAAGTACTCCATCAACATTTGCGCAAACTACGGTTTGGTTTGAACAAATGGAAACAGTTAGAAAGGAATGGGTGCCGGACACTTCCTATTTTCGGATTGATGACCAAATCCAACATACGCAACAACAGCAGTTGGACAAATAAGGAGAACGAACGCGCAGCACTAGAACAACTCACAAACGCAGAAAACTAAGGACGTAAGTGCAAGAGAAACAAAATATGGAATATATAACCTGGACGAAGATTAAAAAAAGAGGCAATAGTTAACTACATACCCTCATTGGAAACCGCGCTCCATTCACCTGGAGGGAACGTGTACTGTCCATTTCGGATTCGAGTTTTCATTCCGGGCGACAGAGGATCACCGCCCTGACTGTAGAATGGGGGATATCCACATAATCTATTTATCTGTAAGACGAGTCGAAATTCGAGGACTCACAATATGTATGTAATTACTCCAAGTGACCAGATATCACAACGTTTGTCATAGTTACTGGGTCCGAAAACTTCGGGAGCTACACAGAACGTAAAACTTTGTAAACCAACGACCTACCAACATAATATGGAGTAAAGCAGGGCGAACTGAGGTAAGTTCCAGGCAATATTTCCTTGGCAAAACCAAAATCAATTAACTTAAGTGGGGCGTCAGGTGCATGAGAGGCAAAAAGCAAGTTTTCGGGCTAAGCGCGTAAGGCTGTTCGAAATGCAATTACTTTAAGGTCTCTGTGGGCGATATTCATTCTATGCAAGTAAGCAATTGCATTAGCTATTTGATATACAATTTTTGCAGCGTCTAAGAGAAATGAGCATTTGAAATAATTACCATTCTCAGTAAATCCATGTTGATGCTGACTTTGAATTCGATTAAATAATTCACCGCCTTCCATGCACTCCATTATCAACAATAGGTGATTGCGACCAGTGGTTGAATTACTATTTTCGTAAACATCCAGGACTTTTACGACATTCGGACACTCGGAAGCGCGGCAATGCAACTCCACTTCCCTTCGTGCCTTAGCATCATCACCCAATACCTGGAAAAATTATAAGCGCTCCTTAAAGTACCTTTAATGCACACTTCCTTCCCGTAGCTTTGTGGACACATTGGAAAACCTTTCCACTGATGCCACTGCCGAGGCAGACCTGTGTAATATCATAGTCCGCAGTCACTCGAGAACACTT